CAGGCTGTTGTCATCGCTTTGTTCTGCTCTGTGCTAATGGTGTAGCTGAGCAGCTAGTGTTGTTTTTAGCTGCTCCGCTAACTGGTGTTGAGTAGCTGGTTAGCATCATGTTAGCTTTTTAGCTACACCGGCTTCCCAGATCCCAGCCGGAGCGGTGTGTTCTTAGCTCTGTTAGCCCCTCAGATCAGCCGCGTTCCTGTCGTCTGCACTGCAGTCTTTCTCCATCAGTGTAGCTGTCTGTCTGTCTGACCACAGCTCAGGTCAGTAGACAGTTAGCTGCAGCGCTAAGGCTAGGCTGCACAAACAGGGCCCCAGGTGGGTGTTTTGACCACTCTGTGACAGATTTTTGTGGCGTGATGAAACGATGCACTGAGACACATCAGTCCTCAGTGTGTGACGGGGCGAAACGCTGGTTTAACTCCGTCACAGCTGCTATTAAAGCCTGATGCAAATGAGGCTAATTAAAGCGATAGTGCGGCCACACTGTCCTCCTGTGTCCACCTGTTAGCTCAGCCGTGAAAGGCTGAGTGTGACTGTGGAGCTGGGAGTGAATGAGGAAGCAGAGTGAGTAAAGGTGAGAGTAATCACTCTGGAATGGACTCACACCTACAGACAGAAAAGAAACCATGAGGCAACAGCATTACCTCATCACCCAAACCCACAGTGACGGCTCGTCACCCAAACCCACACCGACGCCTCGCTCAGCGTGTATTATTTTATTTCTGGTCACTCCTCTTCAGATAACTCGACTCAGCGTCATCACAGCTTCAGTAACATCATCTGAACTGCTTATCTGACTTCAGTCTGCCCCGCCCTCTGACTACTTCACTCCTTAACCGTGTGATTATTATTCACTTATTCATTTTTAGAATTATTATTCAGTTATTCAAATATGTTATGAAGTATTAAGTGTCTTCTATTAATTATTTAGGAACTGCTATTAATTCTTCTTTAACTATTACGAGGTATTCAATATTAATAAGTTATTAAATAACTAATGTGAATTGTTCAGTAACTACAGGTTATTCAATATGTATTATGAAATATTAAGCAACTACAAAAAATAAGGAGCTGTACACGTCAGTGTCTCCTGTGGATTATTCAGTGTCTCCTGTGAAACTGGGTGTGATGGTCTACAGGAAACTACAGACCTGCTTGACCGGGTCACCTCATACTTTTCATTATACCAGATGTTTTGATGATGCGTGATGCCCCACCCACTCCCCGCCCTCTGTACTCTGATAGGCTGCACCCAGATGTCTAGAGTCAGTATCAGTGACTGTAGAAACTCCACACCAGGACAGAGTCCAGCGTTATCATCATTACCTTTTACAGCATCACTCAGCTCGTCTCAGCACAGGGTGTGTTCAGCTGTGTGTTCAACAAGCTATCAAAAACACTGAATAGTGAATTAGGACTTTGGATATGCAAATCAGCTCTCAAACATTATACATTGTCATATTGAAGAACCATGAGCTCTCTCAGCTCTGTCCTCCACCAGAGGGCAGTGTAGAGCTGCGTTTTACGTTTTGGTCAGAAGTTCTAATCTGTTTAGCCCAGTGAAGGAAACAGGAGGACAACCACCACCTAAGACTACCGTACACCACCTAAAGACTACTGCAGCCGTCTGAAGACTACCGCTTACTGTCTAAAGACTACTGCGGCTGTCTATAGGCTGCTTCACACTGTGTAAAGATTGCTGTAGCCATCTAAACACTTTCACACACCGTCTAAACACTCCTGTTTTGTTTTCACTGCTCGTGCACCGTCATTCAGCATTAACGTCGAAGCAGCACCAAACCTGAAGTTAGTGCCAGTAAATGGTGTAAAAGTATCTGGTCTTTTTTCTCCTTCGTCTCGCTCTAACAGTGAAGCTGAGAGCTGATCAGAGTGATTGATCTGTTCATGTTGCGTTTGTTTGTCACGTGACGTTATTGATTAAAGACAGGTTTGAGTCACAGATGTGAACCATCATGTTGGAGAAATCGGATCTGATCAAGAATCGGGATTGAGCAGCGCGGAGTTTAAACGCAGCCGTTAAGCCGTTAGACAATGTTAAAATGCACATATGTAAAAACGTAAAAGTGTGCGTAAAATGTAAAATGTGGTCTTGTAGAGACTCGTCGTTCTGCTATGTTTCCTCTCTGGTGGATGCTTTGATGTCTGTGTTTGATCTGAGTAGATAAAAGCTGTTCACTCCTATCAGTGGTGAGGTTAGTGTTCATTTTAGTGCTAATTGGAATATTAAATTATGCGGAATGCCTCTCGTGCGCTGCTGTAATCATGTAAAGAATGATCGGCAGTTGAGAAATCACTGTTACCTGGTTAACAGGTGTGCCACACCTCACTGTCATTCATGGTCACACTGTGTGTGTGTGTGTGTGTGTGTGTGTGTGTGGGGTGTGAGAGGATGTTTGTGTTAGAGAGAGAGAGAGAGCGAGAGACACAGAGAGAATGGAGAGTGAGAGAGAGCAGGAATGAGCAGATTAAGGTGTGTGTGTGATGGCGTGCGTGCCTGTGCAGGGTGTGTGTGTGTGTGTGGGGGTGTGTGTGTGTGTGTGTGTGTGTGTGTGTGTGTGTGTTTTACTCCCAAATAAAATGAACAGCACGTCAGTGTGATGATGAAACTGAGCTGAGAGAGGCGCCCCCTACAGGACAGCCAGCTCACAGATCACATCACCGCTCTGCTTCAGCAAATACATTTATTTTGCACGTTTATGTTGAAAAATATAGTCTAAATTTTGTTTTCTTTACTTTTAGGGATGCGCCAGTCCAACTTTTTCTCTCTGTACTGATTCAGGGTGAATATGTATATATTATTGAGTATAAGCATGTGTTCATTTTTCAGTTTAAATCCTGGATACCTCATAAAAAGTGCTTTTACAATCAAATTCATTCAAAAACAGAATATGTATCTATTTTATGAAATATTTTGTGGTTATTTGGGAGTTCTAAAACGAGGCACACTGGACACACGTTCCATAATCAATCATATTCTTGTAATTAGTTTTAAGGTTATGAGTCAGACGGATCACTGTAAATATTTTAATCTTAAACTTTTTTTTTCTATTTAATGCCAGCTAAAAGTTTAATTTTGAAATAGTTGCTTGCTGATGAAGCTGGAGTGAAGCTGCACTGAGCTTTTATTCTGACACGCTCTCCTGGTTGATTTAGTGGGGCTTTTATTTTGACACACTAGAGAAACACATGGTGCATTTTACGTCTGCAGAGAAAACGCAGGTTAGCTGTATGTAGAGCTTTCAGTTCCATTAATAACACAGACAGTTTGATGTGATGTGTTGTCTCACACTCAGCGTCGGGGTATTTTTACCTGTGAGGTGTTTATAAATATAAGTACAATCAGAACTGTGTGTATATGTTTGTGTGTGTGTGTGTGTGTGTGTGTGTGTGTGTGTGTATATATATATGATAAAAGACCTTATTATGATATTAATGACCATTTGAATTAATTAAATTACTAAGTGCAGAGTTTGGACAGGAAGTGTTTAAAGAGGGAGATAAAAACAGAGACAGTTGTTTGGTTCGTCTCGTTCTGTTTGTATTTCAGATTGTAATGTTTGTAAATAGCGGGACTTTTATTTTGGGCAGTAAGTAGTACTATTGATTTATTATTGACTATAATTGATTAACATTCTGTCAGTGATGCAGGTGAATCACCACCTTTATGACCCTCAAACACAGAGCAGCTCTCTATACATACACTTTGTGACATCACACGCGCACACAGTGCTGCTGGTGTCAGTAGTGTTGTGAGGAGCTGAAGGGGCTCATTATTCACACGCTCAATGGAGTCTTTGTGTGTGTGTGTGTGTTTGTGTGTATATCAGTGTGTGTGTGTGTGTGTGTGTGTGTGTGTGTGTGTGTGTGTGTGTGTGTATGAGTTTGTGTGTATATCAGTGTGTGTGTATATGTGTGTGTGTGTGTGTGTGTGTGTGTTTGTGTGTATATCTGTGTGTGTGTGTGTGTGTGTGTGTGTGTGTGTGTGTGTTAAAGGGCTTCCAGAGCTGTGTGTAATATTTTCCTACCCCGCTCTGACATTTCAGATTTCAGAATAACACAAAAAGAACATCAGTGTGATAATTAGCAGTAGAGCTGCAGCGCCACTAATCAATAAAGTGGACAATGTTAATTATGGACAGATGTCTGTGTCTAATAATGTTCACTCTGACAGACTGTAATACACTACAGGAAGTGTAGGGGGCGATATGGCTTCTACTGTTTCATTTAAAAAGCTCTATAATGTTCATATGATCCACACAGTCACTCTGACAGACTGTAATACACTACAGGAAGTGTAGGGGGCAAATATGTTAGTCAGTTAATTGAATAATAGTCAATGTTCTTAGCTGCAGCCTTAATGAACGGTCTGTAATAGTGTCTAGTGTTTATACCGTTAATAGCTGTTAGTGCTGGTTATTAACACAGCTCACAGTGCGATGCTAATTATGATTAGATATGTGTTATAATGCATTACGATGTCAGTTTTATTATGAAAATCTCAGATTATGGTGCTGTTAAACTGTAAAAACGTCACATTTAACTAAATATCCATGGATATGAAGAACAAAGCTTTAGCCAGCTGTGGCGCAAACAGTGTAGAAGCTCGTAGGAAAGCTTTTTAAGGTGAAATGACTGTTTATAGCTGCTGCCACCTTCAGGGCATAAATAGGTACTACACCCACACTGATTATAGCTATGATGGCTATGAATGCGCAGATTTAATTAATAAGCTTATTAGGTTTAAAGGTTTAAAGTGTTGTGAAAATGCTGATTCAGTGATTGATCGACGTATCGGCTCAGCCGTAACCGATCCGGGTAAAGTGGGATAATGATAATCAGACCAAAGAACGTTTTGCTGAAAAGTTCCCTAAAAGCCGTGAGTGCTCTGAGAAACTGCTCTGTCCACTTCCTGTCCTCTTTTTTGTTTATGCTGCACCCTGGCCTTCCTGTCACTGACCTCACTTCCTGTTTGTTCACAGACGTTCACGGCCTGGTGTAACTCGCACCTGCGTAAGGCAGGAACTCAGATAGAGAACATCGAGGAGGACTTCAGAGACGGCCTGAAGCTCATGCTGCTGCTGGAGGTCATTTCAGGTGAGGAATGGAGCTCCAACGGTCCACATTCGTTCATTCATTCATTCATTTATTCATAACCTGACTATCATGTGTGACTGTTAAGGCTGGCTGCATAACGTAAAGCGTCTCTTAGCACAGACACAACAGTTGCAGGCCTCTCAACGTCCAATCGGAACACTAATAATGCATCATGTGATCATATAAACGGCATCATTTCAAAAACATTGATTTCACCAGATCAAAGCATGAAAAGGTAAAACAGAAGATGCTTTGTTAGACGGTTGCCTGACTGCCTGTATTTAAGGTTGGTCGTTTTTCATTTTGTCAGTTTTCTGAGCCACGACAGCCAATAAACGTGGGTTTCTTAGGGCTCGACCCGAATATTCGACTTCCCACATGTTCATTCAGTGGATGAGTGTTCTGTGTTAATTTTTTGGATTCAAAGCCCACCACTCCCCCCGCATTCAGGCTCTTCATAATAAAAGTCCTAACACAGCCCAACATCAACATTTCGTCCTGTATTGTATTTATATTCCTTAATCGCTGTTAAAATGTGTAAATATATCCCATCTCAGCTCAGACGCCCGACATCCCACTCACTCCCGGCCGTAAACACCAGGCCAACGCGGCGTTAGGCAGCATGTTTTCCCAGCACGGCTACAAACAGCACCCGCCATACTGGACCCTCACTAGGGCTGCTGTTGCCCTTCGTACCTCAAGTTAGACCCCCTCCGTGAAGCGCTGGGTAACGTGAGCATGTGCTGTGCTGTTACCCCTCCAGCCCTCCGCTGAGAGGGGCTGGCGGGCCTGGTGGACGGAGTGAAGCCGTGCTGTGAGGAAAGCAGCGAGCCTGGAGATTCGGATTTTACAGAGGATGAGGCCGCAGATGTTCTTTCAACACGAATGTTGGATGCAGATTTTCTGAATAACTTTCTCAACCCCACCCCGTCTCCCCGCTGCCTCAAAGCTTCAAATGTTCACTGTTGATTACTACAGAAGCTCCAGAGCCCAAAAAATGGTATTCAGGACAGCGGTAGAGTTTCTGGAAGCTAACGTTTCTGTTACCAGCTGCGTTAACTGACCACCTAACGCTGACAGCTGTTTAAACTACAGCTGGGCGACACGGTAAACATATAATACTCTGATTCTTCAACAAATTTTACAATATTTACTTTTTCAGTCATCTGATCAGCTGGAACAGAGAAAAAAGAGCCAGTTTTAGTTTTAAAAATTGTATCAAAATCTGTGAACACAGTGATTTGATAGTTTTATTCTGTATTTGTCACTAAATGCAGTTAAACTGACTAATTTTACTCTCTTTATAATGAATCATGCAGTCGGTCGGTTTCTGCAAGCACTGATGATGATAAACACGATATGATCAGAAAAGCTTATTGTGACATAATTGATCGCGATAATGATATAGTGTCAGATTGCCCAGCCCTAAACTGTTCAAATGGCTGCTTTATTCTTCTTTTGCTGGTATTATCGTGATTCAGGTAGCTGGATTTGTTTCCTTCTCTCTCAATTAATACAGAAGAGACAGAGACGCTCCTCAGTGAACTCGTTGTGCTTCTATAACAGAATGAGTGAGACTTGATTGCCCAGCCCTAATTTGAGTTACTTGACATTATGTTGCTGCGCTTCACAGCAGATGAGTGGCTGTAAAAGTTAAGGTTTTTCACAGACGCTGTTTATCATTCAGGCTTTTGAAATTGTTACACTCTTATCGTTAGATCAGAGTGTCTAATCCCGCTCTAAACGTCTTTATAACGGGCTGTTATTTGTGATGGTCAGTTTGTAGAATGTGATGTTCGTCTACCTGAACCTGACGAGTCCAGAAAGCTGCCGTCTGAACAGTTACACATACGACCATTTTATGGGTTTCAGTGTGTAGAGTCAGATCTTCCTGTGAGCTGCTGTGTTTTCTGTCACCGTATAAAAGACGCATTTATTTTTGGAACATGGTTTTCAGCTCATACAGAGAGCAGGTTGGATCAGTAAGAGCAGATTATTGATCTGTTTAATCAGAGAAACAGTGAAGCACGACTGTTGTGTGACTTACGTTCCTATTCATGTGTTTTTGTGTTTAAAAATGTAGTTTGTGTAGTTTGAGTTTTCGGCTTTGTTAGATGAAGAGCGGAGCTTTAAGAGTTAATGATGAACCTGCTGTAGTTTTGGGAGGTTAATTAACTATTGTTGTTGTTTTCAGGTGAGAGGTTACCTAAGCCTGAGAGAGGGAAGATGAGAGTCCACAAGATCAACAACGTCAACAAAGCGCTGGACTTCATCGCCAGCAAAGGAGTCAAACTGGTGTCCATTGGAGCAGAGGGTACGACCAACACACACTACACTAGCGCACCAACACACACCAACACACACTAACACACACTAACACACACTAACACACATGGCACGGGACGTACAGTGTGATGCTCACTGAGCACTTCATTAGGAACACATTCTATCAGCTCCACTGACCGTATAGCTTCACTCTGTAGTTCTACAGTTACAGACTGTAGTCCATCTGGTTCTCTGCATACTTTGTTACCCTGTTCTTCAGTGGTCAGGACCCCCATGGACCCTCACAGAGCAGGTACTATCTGGGTGGTGGGTCATTCTCAGCACTGCAGTGACACTGACGTGGTGTGTTAGTGTGTGTTGCACTGGTGCAAGTGGATCAGACACAGCAGTGCTGCTGGAGTTTCTAAACACCTCAGTGTCGCTGCTGGACTAAGAACCAAAAATATCCAGCCAACAGCGTCCTGTGGACAGCGTCCTGTGACCACTGATGAAGGACTAGAGGATGACCAACACAAACTGTGCAGCAGCAGATGAGCTATCGTCTCTGACTTTACATCTACGAGGTGGACTGACAAGGTAGGAGTGTCTAATAGAGTGGACAGTGAGTGGACAGTGTTTATAAACTCCAGCAGCACTGCTGTGTCTGATCCACTCAGACCAGCGCAACACACACTAACACACCACCACCACGTCAGTGTTACTGCAGTGCTGAGAATGATCCACCACCCAAATAGTACCTGCTCTGTGAGGGTCCATGGGGGTCCTGACCACTGAAGAACAGGGTAAAAGGGGGCTAACAAAGTATCAGAGAAACAGATGGACTACAGTCTGTAACTGTAGAACTACAAAGTGCACCTATATAGTAAGTGGAGCTGATAAAATGGACAATGAGCGCAGAAACAAGGAGGTGGCTGATTGATGTATTGTGGAATATGCTAATGTTAAGTGTTCCCTCAGACCAATCAGAATTAGGGTGTCTCAGTTTTTAGTCAGTGTTGTGGTCAGTAATTTCAGACTGACCGGTCTGTGCTGTGGTGTATAGAATGTGAGCAGTGCAGATGTGCGGAGCAGCTGGATTAACTGTGTAAATTGAATATAAGCCGTAACAGCAGCACAGTTTCCTGTCTGGATGTGAAATTCTTCAGCTTCCCTCAAAAACGCTCCGTTTCACCACTTCCTGCCAAATCTGTCTGTGAGTGACTGACCTTTCTGACCCTCCTCCATGTTCAACACACACACAGAAGAAGGAGAGAAGCTCACATCCCTCTAAATAATGATAATAATGGGGTTTTATTTGTGCAGCGCTTCCTCTGAAGGGCTCTTCACTCTGCGCTGTTACAGCACATTCGCTCAGTAAAGGGTCACAAAGAATCAGACGGCGGGCAGAGACGGCGGGCAGAGACGGCGGGCGGAGACAGCGGGCAGAGTACACTGTAAAATAAGAGATGATAACCTGGAGAAATGTGTGATCAATAAGTCATATTAGCCTATATTGTGATCGTTTAAATGGGTGCTGATGAATAGAAAACATCAGATCAATAGTGATGAACTCACACATTCTAATCTTTGAAGCATTCAGAAATGTATATGAACAGCCTGTTTTGGATTCGTTGCTTTTGTGATGTCACAAAAATTAAAACGTTTACATAAATTTGCAGTTTAAGCCTACAGCAGTTAAGCCCCGCCCATTCAGCCTACAGCAGTTTAGCCCCGCCCATTCAGCCTACAGCATTTTGGCCCCGCCCATTCAGCCCACAGCCGTTTAGCCCCGCCCACTCTGTCTCCTGCCGTTTAGCCCCGCCCATTCGACATACTGCAATGTAGCCCCGCCCATTCGGCATACGGCAGTTTGGCCCCGCCCATTTACACTAAATTTATGAGCAATGTTTCAGCTCCTGATTGCTTTTTGGAAGAGGCAGAACAGCCAGTCAGAACAGAGCTCATTTGCATAGATCAGTCTTAAAGACACAGTAACTATAGACAGGTTGAGTGTTTACTGCGTCAGTTATGGTGTTTAAACTCTAATATGCTCTGTGTTTGTGCAGAAATCGTGGATGGAAACGTGAAGATGACTCTGGGAATGATCTGGACCATCATCCTCCGCTTCGCCATCCAGGACATCTCAGTGGAGGGTGAGTTTATTACTCCAGCGAGTTTCTCTGAGTCTGTATTTACCGTTAGAGCCGCTGGGCCTATTAGTGGTGATGTAATAGCTGATGTTATCGCACCTGTGGTAAAGCTAGACTGGTTTAAACTGGTTTAGCAGTGAACAGTTAACTTTCCCACGCTACTGTAGAGCGTGAACAGACAGGGCCGTGAGAACAGCACGTCCACAGTTACTGCTGCTGATTATAGGTTAATGTGAAAGTCCAGATTTTGGTCTCTGGTCCTTTCCCTGATGTCCTGAATGTAGAGTTACATCTTTAGATCTGCACTTCAGGGGAAAATCAGTTAAATCAGACTTATTTGGGTTTGTACTTTTTAAAGCAGTGTGAGAATTTTATTTTGGCGAACGGTTGAAAGCCTTACTTAATGAATATTATTATAATCAAATCTGTTATTCATGTTGTTCCTGAATCTCTCTGTCTGTAGAAACCTCTGCTAAAGAAGGGCTGCTGCTCTGGTGTCAGAGGAAGACGGCTCCGTACAAGAACGTAAACGTGCAGAACTTCCACATCAGGTACCCAGGACACTTCCACGCTCTTCCAAAGACTTCCACACACTTTCTAACACTCCCACGCACCTCCAAACACTCCCACGCGCTTCCAAACATTTCCACACACTTCCAAACTCTTCCAAGCACCTCCAAACATTTCCATACACTTCCAAACTCTTCCAAGCACCTCCAAACATTTCCATACACTTCCAAACTCTTCCAAGCACCTCCAAACATTTCCATACACTTCCAAACTCTTCCAAGCACCTCCAAACATTTCCATACACTTCCAAACTCTTCCAAGCACCTCCAAACATTTCCATATACTTCCAAACACTTCCAAGCACCTCCAAACTCTTCCACACGCTTTCACACACTTCCAAGCACCTCCACAGGCTTAAACACATTTCCGAACTCTTCCAAGCACTTCCACAGACTTCCACAGACTTCCAAATCCTTCCACATGGTTCCACACACTTCCAAACACTGCAGCTCCAAACAGCACTGTGTGAGGATAAACCTCAGGAGCTGTAATCTGCTGCAGCTCAGCTCCTAACTCTGATACCTGGATCATTTATCTAGAACCATTACAGTAGGAGGTGAGGTTTTTATTCAAGTCCAGCTGAATATTCAGACTCAATTCAGGATAAAACCGTCAGAGATAAACACACAGTTCGCCTGCAGTTCTGATTAAGTGCTGTTTGCTGGCGCTCAGACATAAATATATGGACACTCACTGTGGAGAGTTTTGCATAAAACCAGCAGCATAAACACTCTTATCAGCTTATCACTGTAATTTGCATAAATGGCTGTAATGTGAGTGAATCAGCAGCTGATAAACTCCTGTGTTCACGCGCAGCTCAGCACTGAGGGATTATACCGTTTTACATAGAACCAGAAATAATATAGGTGAATTAAACCCTTGTTAAAGGGCCGATAAGTGAATTAAACCCTCTTTAAAGGGCCCATTAGTGAATTAAACCCTCGTTAAAGGACCGATAGGTGAATTAAACCCTTGTTAAAGGGCCGATAAGTGAATTAAACCCTTGTTAAAGGGCCGATAAGTAAATTAAGCCCTCTTTAAAGGGCTCATTAGTGAATTAAACCCTCGTTAAAGGGCCGATAGGTGAATTAAACCCTCTTTAAAGGGCCCATTAGTGAATTAAACCCTCGTTAAAGGGCCGATAGGTGAATTAAACCCTCTTTAAAGGGCCCATTAGTGAATTAAACCCTCGTTAAAGGACCGATAGGTGAATTAAACCCTCGTTAAAGGACCAGTGTTTAAATCAAACCCTGGTTACAGGGCCTATAGTTAAAGGACCATTACTAGTTTGAATGAGTATTTTTCATTGTCTGAAACGCTGCCCCCTGCTGGTCACAGTGTGTAATGATGTTCTCCTCCTGCAGCTGGAAGGATGGACTGGCCTTCAACGCTCTGATCCACAGACACCGACCCGAGCTCATCGACTACGACAAACTGCGGAAGGTCAGACTTTGCACACACTTTACATTAAAGCACGTCAGCATTTATGCAGATTTTATACATTCATAATCAATATTCCCGCATAATCATTAGCTTTCTGACTGAAATAAAACTTTGAAAAGGAACCTAATTTATAAAATGTAGTATTATTATTTTATTATTTTATAAAATGATATTAATTGGGTGTTTATTGATCATTGTTTTGGCACAATTCAGAATAATTATTAAAAATACACAGATTTAATAAATAAATCTGTTTACAGGTTTTTTTTTACAGTGTTTTTTGTGTTTGAAAATATGCCAGGAATTTTATTTCGAGCAATAAATGAAAGCATACTTTATTAAATATCACCACCTTCAGATCTTCCCATCATGATACATCAGTTCCTTTTTACAACCTGTTGTTTTTTATTTCTGTTAGTTTGATCTGGACTGAAGCTGCATTAGAGTGAGAGTTTAGTGTATATGTAGTGCACAGTGACGGAATTAAAAAACGGCTGGTTTTTTTATTTAATTTAACTGTGTTAAATTAAGGAGGGGGGTAGTTTAATAGAGTGACCACAGGGTCAGATTTTATTCAAATCTATATTAAAATGGGTTTAATATCAGTTTAATGAGCTCCTGTATCACAGTTTAGCACTGAACGAAGTGGGAACAGATGTCTTCTTGTATCTTGTACAGAATGAGATGAATATTTCAAACCCTGCAGTGAGTCTGTTCATCAGCGAGTGTTTGTGGTGTTGTTATTTTTAGGACGACCCGGTGACCAACCTGAACAACGCATTTGAAGTGGCTGAGAAATACCTGGACATTCCTAAGATGTTGGACGCAGAAGGTATAAACTGGCTTTATCTGTGCTTGTGTGTTTGTTTGTGTGTGTTTGTTTGTATTTCTGTTTGTTTGTATTTCTGTGTTTGTTTATATTTGTGTTTGTATTTGTGTGTTTATGCTCGTTTCATTAAATCTTGAAATGGGAGCGGTTTAATGCAGGTCTGGGCGATATCTCAAAATAATTTGCACAGTGTTACATTGTTAAAAATTTGCAATTATCGATTAGACAAAAAAAAACAGTGTTTGACGTTAACAGATTTATTGAAAGTCTTACATCACTGAATAACTAAACGCTGCACCCTGTCATGAAGCTGTTTCTACAAATGTCGTGAGCTCCTGCTGGTGTGGGTTCAGGCTGATTTTGTACGTTAGTTAGGCTTCCAAAGCCCCGCCCACATTCTTCATATATTGAGGGAAAAAAAGTTGCTTTCTCTCCGTATCGAGCTCTGAAGTTGGGCGTCATTGTTCTGTAGTCAGTGTTTCACGGCTTATCGCTCTGGAACATCACAGAGCAAACATTTATAACAACTAGGAACAAAACCCACGAGCTCAGAACAGAGAACAGCGCCATTCAGAACGTCGGCTGAATGTGATGTAGCGCTGGGCAATATGACAATATTTGCACCATAATAACAGTAAATTACAATATGTTCACAATACGCTCTTCACTGTCATCGTCGGTTCTTAAAGAACCCTGACTAACTGCCTTTTTCATTATGAAGAGAACATAATTCGTCCTGTTTGATTGGATTTAGTGCAGTGTGTGAAATGTTTGTACTCAGTCTTGGATATTTTTAAATGTGGCACTGCTGGCTCTTTTTTTGATCCAACAGCCAAAAAAATATCGTTACATGTCGTGTATTGTGAAAATCTCTTGAAGTATCGTGATATTTGTGTTATATCGCCCAGCTCTAGTGTTATCCGTCATTGTTGCCAAATATTCATAAAATCTGTCCAATCAGCTGTGAGTGTTTATCTGTACACTAAAAAATGGCTCTACATGAACAATCGAGCCTTTTGCATGATTTAAGAGTTCTTTGCATGGTGAAATGGTTCTTCAGATTGATGGAGGATGTGTTGTAGATGGTTTTATGTAGAACCTTTTTGAGAAGGGATCTGTATAGCACCCAAAAATGTTCTGCTACTGTTGCGATGTCTAGTTTGTAACAATAGAAGAACCCTTTTTGGTGCTGTAAAGAACCATATACAGCACATTCTCCCTCTTTCACGATGCAAAGAACCATTTAATCATGCAGATAGTTTTTGAGTAATCAGATAATGGGGAAACTCCAGGTCTACATAAGTCAGACAGTAATCGGATTTCTGCTTTACAACCAGCCAATAAACTCACAGAATAAGACGTGACGTAAACATAACATAAACTTCGTGAGCGGCTTTTTTTTAAACATCGAGTCACTTTATCTGAAAATTTGATCATAAATCATCTAGAAGATGAAGAATATTTAAACCCTCCATTTGGTCAAATGTGTGTTTGGTTTCAGTGTCGCTCCAAAAGTGCTGTGTTCGTCTCGCAGGTGCTGTTAAACGCTGTGTTAAAGGCTGTGTTAAAGGCTGTGTTAAACGCAGTGTTAAGCGCAGTGTTAAGCGCAGTGTTAAAGGCTGTTTTAAAGGCTGTGTTAAGCGCAGTGTTAAGCGCAGTGTTAAGCGCAGTGTTAAAGGCTGTGTTAAAGGCTGTGTTAAACGCAGTGTTAAGCGCAGTGTTAAGCGCAGTGTTAAACACAGTGTTAAACGCAGTGTTAAACGCAGTGTTAAAGGCAGTGTTAAAGGCTGTGTTAAAGGCTGTGTTAAGCGCAGTGTTAAGCGCAGTGTTAAAGGCTGTGTTAAGCGCAGTGTTAAGCGCAGTGTTAAGCGCAGTGTTAAACGCTGTGTTAAACTATGTTAAACGCTGCTCACTGTTTCCGGGACGATGCTCTGTTTTCACACATGCTCACTCTGAGAGAAACGAAAGAAATCAGAGTGAGAGTTCACACTGAAAAACCCAATTACTGACTCAGATCAGCCTCTTTATCAGATGTACTAATCAGATTATATAGACTTTAATCTGATCTAAGAAATCAGAGTTTACAGCACTGAAAAAACCCATTACTGACTCAGACCCAGCCTCTTTATCAGATTTACTAATCAGATTTATAGACTTTAATCTGATCTCAGAAATCAGAGTGAGAGTTTACCGCACTGAAAAAACCCATTACTGAGCTCAAATCAACCTCTTTATCAGATTTACTAATCAGATCTATAGACTTTAATCTGATCTCAGAAATCAGAGTGAGAGTTTACCGCACTGAAAAAACCCATTACTGAGCTCAGAACCAGCCTCTTTATCAGATTTATTGACCTTAATCTGATCTAAGAAATCAGTCTGCTGTTTACATGACCACTTAATAATCAGATAACTGCAGGAATCTGATAATGATCAGAATATTGAGTTCACTCGTTGATTAGATCTAATCAGATCCCCTGTCCCAGGCCTGCGTGTCTGCAGAGAGAGTGCTGAGTCATCACTCTGAAATCACTTCACTGCTTCACCCAAAAATAACTCCTTTCCGCTCTGAGCTGGGATTGTTTATGTTTAGGCTGGTGTCTGTGAGCCGCGTTGGTGAGAAGTTCATAGAAAACTGTCTCTCCTCCAGTCTGACTGCAGGAGCAGCACACCTGGGAAACACCTGGGAAACACCTGCTCGTGGGAGTTAAAGCAGTAGTTCAGCCAGAATTCAAATTCCTCCAGTTTTACCCTCAGATGTAGTTCAGCCAGGACACGCCTGTGTCTGAAGTTTGCTTCTTTAGTTTCAGCACTGGAGCTACGAGGCTAATGTCGCTAACAAGTAATGGAAGCTTATAGCCCACTAATTAGCGTGGTGCTAACTGAACACCCAAGTCAGCTCACGCTCGCCTCAGAGTTTTAATGAGGTTGGCGTCACAGGTTTTCCAGCTTTTTATTCCAATTTTCCCGTTCCACCTTAAACAGCGCAGCAGTTTCTAATTCCAGTTTTCCACTCCACCTTAAATGGTGCAGCAGTTACATTCTGGCACCTGTTTGTTCTAACTGATTGTTTGAATGTTTAGTTCCACCTTAAATGGTTCAGCAGTTACATATTTGTTGGCTTCAAATTCTGAGGCACCAGAATGTGATCGTTTAAGGTGGAGCGGATAATTAGAACGAGAAACCAGTAAATAGACGCCATAGTGTAACTGCTGCCCCGTTTAAGGTGGAGCGGATAATTAGACAGAGAAGCCGGCGGGCTGTAAGCTTGGTGGGCTGTAAGCTTCCAGTGCTTCTTAGCTACATTAGCCTTGCGGTTTAGTGCTAACACTAAAGAAGCTGATGGACAACATTTGCTGAAAGGGAGGAAACTGGTGGGAATTGATTACTGATCACATGTATTGCTTTAAAGTGTCTACACTGGCCAGTTTTCAGGAATGAGCCCAGAGTGCTCGGCCCGGTTCTGTCCGTCCGAGTCTCCGTGTCTGTCTGTCTGTGCTGTATGTCTGTCCTGCATGTATGTGTGTGTATAACCTGTGTTTTCCTGCAGACATTGTGAACACAGCTCGTCCAGATGAGAAGGCTATAATGACCTATGTGTCCAGTTTCTATCACGCCTTCTCTGGAGCTCAGAAGGTACCCCCCCAACTGCCCCCCATGACCCTAAATCACCCCAGAAACTCTGTCCGGCATGGCTTTTTTCTCGCTCTTGGGTTGCCATGGTGATTTTGCAGGGCTCCTCGTCCTCCGTCTTTTTCAAAGTGGGCGGGCTCAGCTGGCGCAGCCATGGAACCAATCAGATTCCTCCTTGCAGGTCACCTGACCACTAAATCACACGCAGACTCTGGGTTGCTTTGCTTCACCACTGCTTTTCTCTCTCTCTCTCGCTCTGTCTCTCTCTCTCTCTCTCTCTCTCTCTCTCTCTCTGTCTCTCTGTCTCTCTCTCTCTCTCTCGCTCTCTCTCTCTCTCTCTCTCTCTCTCTCTCTCTCTCTCTGTTCTCTCTGTCTCTCTCTCTCTCTGTCTCTGTGCTGGCTGTGCTCTAGATATCGTGGGTACTCTCCGGCCGGATGAGAAGGCCATAATGACGTATGTCTCCTGCTTCTATCACGCCTTCTCTGGCGCTCAGAAGGTGAGGAACTCTCTTGGGCCTGACCTTTGACCCCTGTGACAGGTTGTGGTCACTCCGGCTGAGGTCAGGCCGGCTTTCACCGCAGCTGAACCGCTACACACCTGCAGCTCACCTGTGGAGGAGATTCAGGGCCGGATAGTAGAGCTGGTGTAACAGTGAAAATGGCTGAGATGCAGAACTTTAATAAGAGAGCACTTATCCAGAACCTTCAGAACCACAGAACGGGAACTGTGCTTTTCCATTAGGTGTTGGTCCAGCACCCACGGTCTATGTTATTTGGTGCCGAGTATGGTACCAACAGGACCTTATGGTTCTCAGGACTTTTGCTGTTCTTTACTCTCTCAGATGAAAATAAACCTGTTTTACTGTTAGAACCGTAAAGAACCCGTATTAGTGTTAGAACTGTAAAGAACCCGTATTAGTGTTAGAACCGTAAAGAACCCGTATTAGTGTTAGAACTTTGTAAAGAACGCACTCGGGTGGCCTAAGCTAAAATTGCTGCCGTTTATTCTGAGTGTTTTTGTTCTTATTTTTACACTTTTTGGGAAAAAATAGTTGCGTGTAAAAGTTTGTGCGCCCCGGTTCAAATTCCATGTACGTGTTGATTTTCCGAGTGTGAATAAGTTTACACATCCTCTACAGAGACACACTGCTGCACATTTTAAAATGAAATTACTGTTTATTGAATGAATGTAACACAAAAAATAAAACTGAGGGCTGTGCAGAAGTTATGGCACGTTTTTTTCCAATATGTTAAACTCAGACTAGACTTTCAGAAAAATAACATGTCTTTGTAGAGGATATTTCACATATTTCCATTAAAAAAAATTAATAAATACATACACGATGATTGTAATCATGATTATATAGATGATTCATGATATTTGTCTTTCAGTCCAGCACATAAAATTAATGCTAATTATCCAGATTAGATTCTGTAGAGTTTTGTACTGGAGTGATACAAAATTAGCAAAAAGACTATCATCATTTGCTTTTATTTTGACTGAGAATTAACTGTAGAACCTGAGCTATAAGCTCTGTTGGTTCTTGTTGGAGTCTTAGTGTTTTTGAAAGTGCCGTGTGAAAACGCTGGTCATTAGTGACGTACAGAACACCTTTCACATCAGAGCCTTTGACCGCTGATGACGTCATTCCATACGTAGAGAAGTGAAGCCGCTTGGCTTGTCATGTTCTCTAAAGCTTGCAGTGATGTAAATATTTTAATTTAAGGGTCGCAGCAAAACATTTCATCCGGAAGTAAACAGTAAAAGTTTAATTCAGAGTTATGAGAGTAACAGACGTTAGCTTGTGTATCATATCAGTAAAGAATAATTAGTGAGGTTAGCCAATAGAACGCCTTGATAGTTAATTATGTCTGTAATTAGTGTTAGTTTTGAGTAGAAAAAGCCCTCGTCAGTAGCGCTCTGTGCAGTAGTGCGCCCCCTGCTGGCAGTGCACTGTTCTGAAGCTGTTTGATTTCTTCACTGAGAAACAGTCAGCGTGGTTTAGCTTTTTGTTTTTTTGTTTTTTCTGTACGTCACTAATAAACAGTAATTATGTTTATTTACTGCATTTCACAGTTTTGCTTGTTCACTGTTACGACTGCTTTATGATTTGGCGCTGAATCTTCTCCAAACTGCCCCACAAACACTTTCCTCCAGTTCATAAACTGACTGAAATTCCTGATGTTGGTTCTCTGGGTTTCCCATAATGCATTCTACCTCTGTGGCTCCCCCTGCAGGACACTTTCAATAGTGATCTAAAACAGAGACGATCAGATTGGAGATCACAGCCTGTAAAAGTGTGACTTTCAGTCTGAATTCACTCTTTCAGATATCAGACTTCCTGAACACTCGACTGTTATGAAGAGATATTGATCATCTTTATCAGAGTTTAAAATGAAACCAAGTATTGAACGATTATCAGCCATAAAGAGTCTTTAAGAGTGTATAATACACTGTGATTCTGGAGGAAAAGCTCTGGTATAATATTTATGGGAAACTCTTTTATTTATTATTATTATTTGTTATTATTTATGTGGAATATTTTAAATTGCTGTCCCACTTTACGTTCTGCCCTCCGCCTGAGTCATTGGCAATTACTAAATGTTATTATTTTATTTTGCCGCAGTTAGCCGTATTACAGAAACATCTCAGTCTCTGAAAATGGAAAATCTGATCAGTTTAGTCTCCGTGACGACTTTCGGACAGTATCTATTACAGAATAACAGTTCCTACCTTCATAATCTCATCATCAACTCCAGATAAGAAAACAGCATCACACAAACATCCTAACTAGACTGAACCTAAATCTAAAGACACCCATTCAGCTACAGCAGTTTAGCCCCGCCCATTCAGCCTACAGCAGTTTAGCCCCACCATTCAGCTACAGCAGTTTAGCTCCACCATTCAGCTACAGCAGTTTAGCTCCACCCATTCAGCTACAGCAGTTTAGCCCCGCCCATTCAGCCTACAGCAGTTTAGCCCCGCCCATTCAGCTACAGCAGTTTAGCCCCACCATTCAGTCTACAGCAGTTTAGGCCCGCCCATTCAGCCTACAGCAGTTTAGCCCCACCATTCAGCTACAGCAGTTTAGCTCCACCATTCAGCTACAGCAGTTTAGCCCCGCCCATTCAGCCTACAGCAGTTTAGCCCCGCCCATTCAGCTACAGCAGTTTAGCCCCACCATTCAGTCTACAGCAGTTTAGGCCCGCCCATTCAGCTACAGCAGTTTAGCCCCGCCCATTCAGCTACAGCAGTTTAGCCCCGCCCATTCAGCTACAGCAGTTTAGCTCCACCATTCAGCTACAGCAGTTTAGCCCCGCCCATTCAGCTACAGCAGTTTAGCTCCACCATTCAGCTACAGCAGTTTAGCTCCACCATTCAGCTACAGCAGTTTAGCTCCACCATTCAGCTACAGCAGTTTAGTTCCACCATTCAGCTACAGCAGTTTAGCTCCACCAATCAGCTACAGCAGTTTAGCCCCACCATTCAGCTACAGCAGTTTAGCCCCACCAATCAGCTACAGCAGTTTAGCTCCGCCCATTCAGCTATAGCAGTTTAGCCCCACCAATCAGCTACAGCAGTTTAGCCCCGCCCATTCAGCTACAGCAGTTTAGTTCCACCATTCAGCTACAGCAGTTTAGTTCCACCATTCAGCTACAGCAGTTTAGCTCCACCATTCAGCTACAGCAGTTTAGCTCCACCATTCAGCTACAGCAGTTTAGTTCCACCATTCAGCTACAGCAGTTTAGCCCCACCATTCAGCTACAGCAGTTTAGCTCCACCATTCAGCTACAGCAGTTTAGCCCCACCATTCAGCTACAGCAGTTTAGCTCCACCATTCAGTCTACAGCAGTTTAGCTCCACCATTCAGCTACAGCAGTTTAGCCCCACCATTCAGCTACAGCAGTTTAGCCCCACCATTCAGCTACAGCAGTTTAGCTCCACCATTCAGCTACAGCAGTTTAGCCCCACCATTCAGCTACAGCAGTTTAGCTCCACCATTCAGTCTACAGCAGTTTAGCTCCACCCATTCAGTCTACAGCAGTTTAGTTCCACCATTCAGCTACAGCAGTTTAGCCCCACCATTCAGTCTACAGCAGTTTAGTTCCACCATTCAGCTACAGCAGTTTAGCCCCGCCCATTCAGCTACAGCAGTTTAGCCCCGCCCATTCAGCTACAGCAGTTTAGCCCCGCCCATTCAGCTACAGCAGTTTAGCTCCGCCCATTCAGCTACAGCAGTTTAGCCCCGCCCATTCAGCTACAGCAGTTTAGCTCCACCATTCAGTCTACAGCAGTTTAGCTCCACCATTCAGTCTACAGCAGTTTAGCCCCACCCATTCAGCCTTCAGCAGTTTAGCTCCACCATTCGTCTACAGCAGTTTAGCTCCACCATTCAGTCTACAGCAGTTTAGCCCCACCATTCAGTCTACAGCAGTTTAGCCCCACCATTCAGTCTATAGCAGTTTAGCTCCACCATTCAGTCTATAGCAGTTTAGCTCCACCATTCAGCTACAGCAGTTTAGCTCCACCATTCAGCTACAGCAGTTTAGCTCCACCATTCAGTCTACAGCAGTTTAGCCCCGCCCATTCAGTCTACAGCAGTTTAGCCCCGCCCATTCAGCTACAGCAGTTTAGCCCCGCCCATTCAGCTACAGCAGTTTAGCTCCACCATTCAGCTACAGCAGTTTAGTTCCACCATTCAGCTACAGCAGTTTAGCTCCACCATTCAGCTACAGCAGTTTAGCTCCACCATTCAGCTACAGCAGTTTAGCCCCACCCATTCAGCCTACAGCAGATTAGCCCCGCCCATTCAGCTACAGCAGTTTAGCCCCGCCCATTCAGCTACAGCAGTTTAGCCCCGTCCATTCAGCTACAGCAGTTTAGCCCCGCCCATTCAGCTACAGCAGTTTAGCCCCGTCCATTCAGCTACAGCAGTTTAGCTCCACCATTCAGCTACAGCAGTTTAGCTCCACCATTCAGCTACAGCAGTTTAGCTCCACCATTCAGCTACAGCAGTTTAGCTCCACCCATTCAGTCTACAGCAGTTTAGCTCCACCATTCAGCTACAGCAGTTTAGCCCCACCATTCAGCTACAGCAGTTTAGCCCCACCATTCAGTCTACAGCAGTTTAGCCCCGCCCATTCAGCCTACAGCAGTTTAGCTCCACCATTCAGCTACAGCAGTTTAGCCCCGCCCATTCAGCTACAGCAGTTTAGCTCCACCATTCAGCTACAGCAGTTTAGCCCCACCATTCAGCTACAGCAGTTTAGCCCCACCATTCAGTCTATAGCAGTTTAGCCCCACCATTCAGTCTATAGCAGTTTAGCCCCACCATTCAGTCTACAGCAGTTTAGCTCCACCATTCAGTCTACAGCAGTTTAGCTCCACCATTCAGTCTACAGCAGTTTAGCTCCACCATTCGTCTACAGCAGTTTAGCTCCACCATTCAGTCTATAGCAGTTTAGCTCCACCATTCAGTCTACAGCAGTTTAGCTCCACCATTCAGTCTACAGCAGTTTAGCTCCACCATTCAGTCTACAGCAGTTTAGCCCACCATTCAGTCTACAGCAGTTTAGCCCCACCATTCAGTCTATAGCAGTTTAGCTCCACCATTCAGTCTACAGCAGTTTAGCTCCACCATTCAGTCTACAGCAGTTTAGCTCCACCATTCAGCTACAGCAGTTTAGCTCCACCATTCAGCTACAGCAGTTTAGCCCCACCATTCAGTCTACAGCAGTTTAGCTCCACCATTCAGTCTACAGCAGTTTAGCCCCACCATTCAGTCTATAGCAGTTTAGCTCCACCATTCGTCTACAGCAGTTTAGCCCCACCATTCAGTCTATAGCAGTTTAGCTCCACCATTCGTCTACAGCAGTTTAGCTCCACCATTCAGTCTACAGCAGTTTAGCTCCACCATTCAGCTACAGCAGTTTAGCTCCACCATTCAGTCTACAGCAGTTTAGCTCCACCATTCAGTCTACAGCAGTTTAGCTCCACCATTCAGCTACAGCAGTTTAGCTCCACCATTCAGCTACAGCAGTTTAGCCCCACCATTCAGTCTATAGCAGTTTAGCTCCACCATTCAGTCTACAGCAGTTTAGCTCCACCATTCAGTCTACAGCAGTTTAGCTCCACCATTCAGCTACAGCAGTTTAGCTCCACCATTCAGTCTACAGCAGTTTAGCTCCACCATTCAGTCTACAGCAGTTTAGCTCCACCATTCAGTCTACAGCAGTTTAGCTCCACCATTCAGTCTACAGCAGTTTAGCTCCACCATTCAGTCTACAGCAGTTTAGCCCACCATTCAGTCTATAGCAGTTTAGCTCCACCATTCAGTCTACAGCAGTTTAGCTCCACCATTCAGTCTACAGCAGTTTAGCTCCACCATTCAGTCTACAGCAGTTTAGCTCCACCATTCAGCTACAGCAGTTTAGCCCCACCATTCAGTCTACAGCAGTTTAGCTCCACCATTCAGTCTACAGCAGTTTAGCCCCACCATTCAGTCTATAGCAGTTTAGCTCCACCATTCAGTCTACAGCAGTTTAGCCCCACCATTCAGTCTATAGCAGTTTAGCTCCACCATTCAGTCTACAGCAGTTTAGCTCCACCATTCAGTCTACAGCAGTTTAGCTCCACCATTCAGCTACAGCAGTTTAGCTCCACCATTCAGTCTACAGCAGTTTAGCTCCACCATTCAGCTACAGCAGTTTAGCTCCACCATTCAGTCTACAGCAGTTTAGCTCCACCATTCAGCTACAGCAGTTTAGCTCCACCATTCAGCTACAGCAGTTTAGCCCCACCATTCAGTCTATAGCAGTTTAGCTCCACCATTCGTCTACAGCAGTTTAGCTCCACCATTCAGTCTACAGCAGTTTAGCTCCACCATTCAGCTACAGCAGTTTAGCTCCACCATTCAGTCTACAGCAGTTTAGCTCCACCATTCAGCTACAGCAGTTTAGCTCCACCATTCAGACTGAAGTTATAAGGAGTGTTTCAGCCCTGATTGGGGCTGAAAGCTCATTTACATATGTCACTTATAAAGGCACAATAACAAAAACAGCCTGTTTAATTGTGAGGGATAAAGAAAGTCATGGAAGATGAATTATGAACGTTTTTGGTTTGTAAACTAACACAGACATTATAAGTGGAGTTCAGAGGGAGAAATAAGATAATAATGTAGAATATTTGTCTTGGTGGTAATAAGAGAGACGTTTCTGTAATGCGCTCTAATAACAGTACAGTAGTGTTATGTTCGTGACTGAGACGCTGGGCTGTGTGTTAGGTGGGACTGTAACTGAATGTTGAGGTTCTGTTCTGTTCTGCTGTTCCTGGATCAGTGTGTTCTGATAGAAGGTGGATGTTCTGTGTATTTCAGCGTGTAGTTAAAGCTGTAGGACTCCAGAGGAGATCAGCGTTTGGTGGTACTCTCGATCAGAACGCCTCGCGTGTGTTTTAAATACAGCATGCAGTTTCTCCTCAAACGCACAGAGTTTGGAGTTTAGCATCCACTGAGTTTACTAATGCTGGAGTTAGCATGCTACGTCACTTAGCCTGAGAGTGAGCGGTCAGCAGTGTGAGGTCTGTGATGCGTTTGGTCACTCAGGCAGAGCGTGTGTGTGATTATTCACTTCGAGTGTTCACAGTGCAACCGTACCTCTGACTGTACACCTTCAAACCTGCACACATTCAGTCGCATGAAACTGATATTAAATAATATACAGAATTTCTGTGGAGTTGTCCTGAGACTCAGCCGCAACCTGAAGCAGCCAGTCAGAAAGCAGATGCACCATGTGATCACATTATATGATATTTCAGCTGACTTGATTTCAGTTGAAACATGAAGACAATAAACAAAAGATTTGCTTGTAACCATTTAGCTCAACGGGCAAGTCAACCAGTTTTCCAAAATTCCCTGTAATGCAGTTGTTGAGATCAGTCAGAGATGTTTGGTGTGAAATGGTTCAGATGTCTTTACAGTGGTGGTGATAGGAACCAGTGGTTGCCATGACTACAACACAGATATAGACATTTTATTTACTATCCAGAACCACCAGTGAACCTACACGAGTCTTCTGAGTTTATATGGAATGTTGATGATGGAAAATAGTGGAAAATCTGAAATAATAAGTTTTCTTTGGGGACTATTTTGCCTCACAGCGCCCTGCATGTATCCCTCCACCATGAATGGAGTTTAAGTTCTCCAAACTATCATAAAACAGCGTCTCAGTCATCAGGCAGTGAATTCATAACCATTTACTGTAGGAACTTTCTGTGAGGGAGCTTTTAGAGGTGGACGTCTGGTTCCTATCACCACCACTGTGAACAGTTCTGACTTCACACCAAAACCAAACACTCTGAAAATTTGTTGAAAATTTGGTGGAATTCTCTTTTAACTAGCTGACGTTAACATGACAGCTGTTTGAGTGGCTGTGTGTTAGTGCTTGTTCTGTTTTGTGTGATTTGCACAGCAAAGTTAATAATTTTCTCCTGTTTTGAGATAAAAACACTGTAAGGTAAATCACACGTTTTATCCAAAGCTCTGGCTACTAATCCTGCTAACTGGTGTAATTGAATGTGCATGGGTCTGTAGTCTGGATCTGCTTTAGTAGCTGTATTTGTGTGGATGTTTCTCTGTGTACAGTCAGCTTTAGACACACAAACCTTCCAGATCAGCTCATAAACAGGGCAGTGAACAGGCAGCATTTTGCTCTGTGAAAGGTTATCAGGTGTTTTGGTCGTCCTGCAGGTCACTGATGCAGTTTTGTAGCTATTTGTGATGAAATGTTGGTTTTCGTGTTACTGAGTGCGCTGTTGTGTGATAGGCTGAGACAGCGGCCAATCGGATCTGTAAGGTTCTGGCTGTCAATCAGGAGAACGAGCATCTGATGGAGGACTACGAGAAACTGGCCAGTGATGTGAGTACAGAGCCGCATGTACAGAGCTGTTATTTAGCTGGATTGAAAAAGCTCTCGTACTGTTTTTCACTTTTTCTTTATTATAAACATACAGTCAAAATATACAGTCAACTCCACTACTGCCACTTATTGATAATACATAATGCTCATGCAAGTATGCTAGCAATACCTTAGCAACCACCTGGGATAGCATAGCTATGGCCTAGCAACACTTTAGTAACCACCTGGGATAGCAGAGCAATGGCCTAGCAACACCTTAGTAACCACCTGGGATAGAATAGCTGTGGCCTAGCAACACCTTAGTAACCACCTGGGATAGAATAGCTGTGGCCTAGCAACACCTTAGCAACCATCTGGCATAGCATAGTAATGTTGTAGCAACTACATTAGATTTTATATATATAAAATGTTTTATAATTTTTAAGCTATTAAAATGCTACAGAACCTGTTCTGATTGGTCTAATACAGTGAAGATCTGTTAGCTCAGTCTGGATATTTAACAGCACCTACTTCAATGTTTTTGTACTTTTATTGAAAATGTTCTGTTTTTCCGAACTGAAAGCTGAATTTAATATAGCAGAGGTCTGTAAATTGTTAGGAGTAGGATTATCTTGGAGAACAGTGATGATTAATTACTGGACATATGAGTGTGTACATGTTAAATCCCCAAACTCACACACGTCCGTGCGACCCGTGTGTCTGCGTGTAGCTGTTGGAGTGGATCCGCAGGACGATCCCCTGGCTGGAGAACCGCGCTCCGGAGAAGACGATGGCGGAGATGCAGCAGAAGCTGGAGGACTTCCGTGATTATCGCCGCGTCCACAAACCTCCCAAAGTCCAGGAGAAATGTCAGCTGGAGATCAACTTCAACACCCTGCAGACCAAACTGAGGCTCAGCAACCGGCCGGCGTTCATGCCTTCAGAGGGACGCATGGTGTCGGTGAGATACGCACACACACCCACACACACACACACACACACACACACACGCACACTTACACACCTCTATACACACACACACACTTACACACCTCTATACACACACACACACACACACACACACACACACCTCTATACACACACACACACACCTCTATACACACACACACACACACACCTCTATACACACACACACACACACACACACCTCTATACACACACACACACACACACCTCTATACACACACACACACACTTACACACCTCTATACACACACACACACACACCTCTATACACACACACACACACACACACACTTACACACCTCTATACACACACACACACACACACACACACCTCTATACACACACACACACACCTCTATACACACACACACACACACCTCTATACACACACACACACACTTACACACCTCTATACACACACACACCTCTATACACACACACACACTTACACACCTCTATACACACACACACCTCTATACACACACACACACTTACACACCTCTATACACACACACACACTTACACACCTCTACACACACACACACACACACACACTTGCACACCTCTATACACACACACACACACCTCTGTATACACACACAATTACACACCTCTATACATACAAACACACACACGCCTATACACACACACACACACACACACACTTACACACCTCTACACACATACACACATGCGCGCTTACACACCTCCACACACACACACACTTACACACCTCTACACACACACACACGCGCGCTTACACACCTCCACACACACATGTACACACCTCTATACACACAGATACACCCCCATACTTACACGTGATGTTTATGTGTAACGGTTATATATCATTTTTAAACATCAGAAACCAAAAAGAAAAAGTTTTGCTCGGTTTTGAAAGTGGAGCTGTGTTGAAGCTGTTTGCTCCTGACCAGTTTGTTTCTGAATTTGTTTTTGTGAAATGTATGTTTTTCTTCTTTCCTCATTGGTTAGGACATTAACGGGGCGTGGCATAAGCTGGAGGGGGCGGAGAAAGGTTATGAGGAATGGCTGCTGTACGAGATCCGCAGACTGGAGAGACTCGACCATCTCGCCGAGAAATTCCGCCAGAAAGCCGCCATCCATGAGAGCTGGACCGACGGTACGTATCGGGGTTGGCAGCCTGGGGCCCCCTTAGCCACATGCGGCTTTTTTACCGCCCCCTTGTGGCGCCACAGCAGAATTAGATGTTTAGATGAAAATAAAATAATCCTCATTTCCAATAAAGTTTTGCAGTAAAATAAAGATTTGCTGAGGTCTAACACTGTTTTCACAATAATCGATCCTAGATACTGGAAATTATGTATGACTGTTAATTGACCCTTTGCGCAGACTGCTGGTCACAGCGGACGGCAGTGTCACATAGTTAGTAGCTAACGAAATAGCAGAGAAGAGAAAGATTCAAGACAAACATCAAGAATTTAGAAACAAGTGGACACTTGTTTATATGTCATTTATATGGACTCAGGCTGCCTTCCTGATATGTCAACCACCAAAAAGTGGAATGTTAAGAGACATTTTACAGGAAGCCGGTTTCCTGTTGGAGATGCGAGAAAAGCGGCTATAGCTGAGCTAAAGCTGAGAGCAGATTAAACGAAGTCTCTGTTTTCGTTTATATCTTTTAGCTTATGCTAGCACATTAGCACATACTGAGACATAATTATAGCTAAGATGTTAAAATGTTACGCAAATAAAGTGGACATAAAATGTTTTGCCTCCCAAGGTGGTTTGATTTTTGTTGAAAAATCTTCTTAACATTTAGGCTGGTATATAAATGATCACTGTCGTTTTATTTCACCCCAGCTGTCCTGTTTATTTCAGAACGATTGGAACTGCAGAACGTGTGAAAAGCAAATATTTTATATAAACATTTTTTAAAAATGGCTTTAGCAGATGTTAAGAACGTCCAGAACGCCACCAATCACTGGAGCTACGTGTTGAAGTGGTGATGCTGCAGATTATTTGCTGTATTCGCTGTAGGCTGATGTCTGTCTGTCTGTCTGTCTGTCTGTGTGATGTGTGTGCAGGTAAGGAGGCGATGCTGACACAGAAAGACTACGAGACGGCGTCCCTGTCTGAGATTAAAGCTCTGCTGAAAAAACACGAAGCCTTCGAGAGTGACCTCGCCGCTCACCAGGACCGAGTGGAACAGATCGCAGCCATCGCTCAGGAGCTGAAGTGAGAGAGACTTTAATCTAAAGGAGAATTCCACCAATCTTAGAAAAATTCCTCCATGATTAAACGGTGAAGATGTAAACAAAGTCATTCAGAGTGGTTTGGTGTGAAACGTTCCATTCTAGAGTCAGAATTATTACATGAAATGCTTACGAATTCACTGCCTGATGACTGAGACGCTGTTTTATGATAGTTTAGAGAACTTAAACTCCATTCATGGTGGAGGGATACATGCAGGGCGCTGTGAGGCAAAATAGTCCCCAAAGAAAACTTATTATTCACAGCTGTGGCCTGAGAGAGAGAGGGAGAGGACCTGGTTATGTTGTTTGTGTGGTTCTGTATCTGTAGCTGTACCTGTTTGTCTTCCAGTGAACTGGACTACTACGACTCTCCCAGCGTGAACGCTCGCTGTCAGAAGATCTGTGAGCAGTGGGATAGTCTGGGTTCTCTCACACAGAACCGCAGAGAATCTCTGGAGGTACGCACGCACTTCGAGAACACTCTGACTCTGACGCTCTGTCCTGTGTACTGTATGTAAATGTGGTTCTGTGCTGCAGAGGACAGAGAAGCAGCTGGAGTCCATCGACGAGTTATACCTCGAGTACGCCAAGAGGGCGGCGCCGTTCAACAACTGGATGGAAGGAGCCATGGAGGACCTGCAGGACATGTTTATCGTCCACAACATCGAAGAGATCCAGGTACAGCAGCCCTGAAGACTTAGTGACATCAACTAGCTGCCATTCATCTCCGCCAGCTGCCTTCAGCTGCAGCTGACTGACTGTAGCTGCCAGTAACAGCACTTACTGTCTCTAACTGATAGTCACCTCCACTAACTACCACCAGCTGCCATGAACAGGATTTGGCTGCCGGTGGCTGATAATCACCTCCACAAACTTAGACCTGCTGCCACTAAAAGTACTGACTACCAATAGCTGCCAGTAAAAAACACTAGATGTCACAAACAAGCACTGACTGCCACTGCCTGCCACTTAAAAGCACTAGCAACCTCTAAGAAGCACTGACTACCTCTAGTTGCCACTAATAACCACTGGTAATCACTAATAAGTACTAAGTACCACTAGATGCAACTAATAAGCTTTAGATGTCACATGTAAACACTAGATGGCACAAATAATCACTGGCAATCACTAAAAAGTACTGATTACCACTTGATGCCACCAATAAGCATTAGATGCCACTAATAAGCACTGGCAATCACCAAAAAGTACTAATTACCACTAGATGCCAGTAATAAGCACTAGATGCCACTAATAAGTACTGGCAATCACCAAAAAGTACTAATTGCCACTAATAAACACTGGATGTCACTAATAAACACTGGGTGTCACTAATAAACACTAGATGCCACTAATAATCACTGGTGATCACAGAAAAGTACTAAATACCACTTGATGCCACCAATAAGCATTAGATGCCACTAATAAGCACTGGCAATCACCAAAAAGTACTAATTACCACTAGATGCCACTAATAAACACTGGTGATCACAGAAAAGTACTAAATACCACTAGATGCCACTAATAAGCACTGGCTGCCACTAAAAAGTACTGATTTCCTGTAGCTGCCAATAAAAAACACTCGCTGCCACGAACAACCACTGGCTGCATAACGTGCATCTTTTGTATTATTAGGTTTTTACGATGATAATTTTCCAATCTGTATCTTCATTCAATCTGTACTGTAAATGTATGTTTTAGTCTAGACTTAAAAAATAGTTGTGGAATTCGAATTCTGATCAATAATTGGTTATTAATTCCATGTCTCTGTATTGAAGTGTTCGTCTGTGTCACTAACGGTCCTCTGTCGTCTGTCCTGCCGCAGGGTTTGATCACGGCTCACGAACAGTTTAAGGCCACTCTGCCTGAGGCCAATAAGGAGCGGGAGGCCATCCAGGCCATCCAGGCTGAGGTGCAGAAGATCGCGCAGTACAACGGCATCAAACTGGCCGGAACCAACCCGTACACCACCATCACCCCCAGCAGCATCGACAGCAAGTGGGACAAAGTACGTTTATTTAGAGAAGAACGAGACTCGATACGTCCATCATGATTTACTGTTTGCTGTGGTCTGAATAAACATTTAGTTTACATATAGTTATCATAGTTATGCATCATAGACTCTCATAAAAAGGTTCTTCAAGGGTTCTTTATTAAGACAGACAACCATGAACACTCAACACTCTATATAGCACCAAAAAGGGTTCTGCTGTTGTTACAAGCTTGACATCGTAACAGTAGGAGAACCCTATTTGGTGCTTTTCAAAAAGATGTAACACGTTCTCCATCAATCTGAAGAACCATTTCATGATGCAAATGGTTCTTTTAGTGTTCATAGTTCTATACTGAACCACTGTCTTTACTAAAGAACCTCTGAAGAACCGCCTTTAAGAGTGTAGAATAAATATACATCATGGAATAGTGTAAAGGATAGAGGATTAATAATATTTAGTTATTATCATGTCATTCATATAATATAGTTATCATTATTCAGAAGACAGTCATGATGAGGGACGATTGTCACTCGAGCGATTAACCTGTTACAGAGTTTAGGGTTAGACGTTACGTGAATCCGGGGTTACACCACTCGACTTTCACCCCGAGTTTTAGCCCTGATTCTCAGTCTGAGTCTGAGCTGGTCGGATCTAGTCTGCAGATTTTTGGGTCAGTCAGAGTCGACAGTTGGAGAGAGGGAGTCGTGTGTGAGGGGCACAGACTCTGATTTTTGGCCTCCTGAACGCGTTTCAGACCAGAGTTTATCAAACTGATTTTTCCGACCCGACTCTGAGCGAAATCCTGCAGCAGCCAATGAAAACAGAAAGCGCGAAAGAAGAAAATACAGCAAGTAAACAAAGAAAAATACCGAAAAGTCTCTCACTCGTTTAGGGAAACTTTTTAATGATTATTGATCACATCTTTACCTCCAGGAGCCTCACTGAATCATGTTTACCTGCTGCTTCTGTAATATTTAGCACGAACAGCAGAGAAAACAGCAGAAGCAGCTTTATGTTTGTTTCAGCTCAGCAACAGCTTAAAAGCGGAGTAGAGTTTGATCTACAGTTGTCGCCTGTCAGACGATGTGAGATGCAGCACAGTCTGTTTATCAGCTGTTAAGTCATGTAGTGTATCCAAGGCTTTAGAAATGGTCAAGGACTCTTATTGATGGTGTTCATGTCCAGGCGAGTAGAAGAAAAAATTGAATATATGCTTTGACATCATTTGATTGACATCACATTTTCTATGCTTGTGTGTATAAATATGAGAAAATGCTTTGGAAAAGTATGTTCAGTTGGCAGAAAGAGCCACAAAACTCACCTCTTCACAAATCACTACTACTGAAAGGCTGGACTGGATTAGAGCTGATGTTGAGTTTGTCTCCCCCCTGTGGCGGCTGTGTGCAGGTGCAGCAGCTGGTGCCTCAGCGTGACCAGGCCCTGCAGGAGGAGCTCGGCCGCCAGCAGTCCAACGACCATCTCCGACGCCAGTTTCGCCAACCAGGCTAACATCGTGGGACCGTGGATCCAGACCAAGATGGAGGTCAGTCAGCACTTCTGTCCTGATCCATCCTTCAAAGTGTTCACTTTATCTATAATACATTTATTTATAAACGAGACTTACAGCAATTTTTAAATGAAACAGTAGAAGCCATATCCCCCCCTACACTTCCTGTAGTGTATTACAGTCTGTCAGAGTGACTGTGTGGGTCATATGAACATTATAGAGGCTTTATTTTTTTTTTAAGTAAACTGTGCTTCAGCCTTTTTTCTGTAACTGATGTTATCACGACTTTCGTGACTCACTACAGTTAACAAAGATTATACATAAATCAAGTTTCCAGTTTATTTGTCGTTTGCCCAACATGTCAGGACATTCATGCGTTGAAATGCTTGTGGTGAGGCTCAGATAATGTGACTCTACAGAAGGGCAGCATTATATACACACTAAAACAGTGCAGACCAAACAAAGTAAAAACATAAAAAAAATAAAATAACTGAAATATAATAAATATGTGCAGAATATACAGAGACAGGAGGGACCTGTGTAAGAAAACTCTCTACTTTGTTTTTATGTATTTGCTATTAAATAATACTGATAGAGTGACTGAGTGAAATGGTTATTAGGGAAGGACTCACAGCTTCACAGCTTGTTCAGAAGCCTGACAGCCTGTGGGTAGAAACTGTTCATTAGCCGGTTGTTCCAGCCTGGATGCTGCAGTATCATAATTATCTGTGAACTGCTTCAGCTTCAATTTAGCTGGAACAGTAGAACGCTTTTTGTCATGAGGTGAGAAAGTAGACCATTACAGAAAGTGGGAAGGTTTCAAACTGTGGTTTTATGTGATGTATTGTCCCCTATTTTGTTGTTGGTAAAATATTTGCATTAAAAATATTCATTTTTATGTAGAAATGTAAAAATAAAAATTAACTTTTTTAACTTAACTCTTAATGTAAGTTAATGTATAGAGATGTTATGGTATTTAATTTGGGGCGTTTCTATTGGTCCAATCATCATGACATTTTCACAAAATGTAAAAGAAAACTGCCATAATCAAATAACATAGAAAAATAAAAATACACCGAAATGGAGATGTTTTTCTTTGGGCAGCGACTAAAATGGATGGATAGATATGTTTACATCACTTTCTGGTGGGCCAGATCAAACGTCCTCACTGGGCAACTGTGGAGCTCTGAGTTGGACTGTTTAATTGTGGTTATTAATGTGTGTTTATGTTGCGTGTGCGTGTGCGTGTGCGTGTGCGCGTGCGCGTGCGTGTGTGTGTGTGCGTGTGCGTGTGCGTGTGTGTGCGCGTGCGTGTGTAGGAGATTGGGCGGATATCCATAGAGATGAACGGAACTCTGGAGGATCAGCTGACCCACCTGCGTCAGTACGAACAGAGCATCATCGACTACAAACCCAACATCGACCAGCTGGAGGGGAATCACCAGCTCATCCAGGAGGCCCTCATATTCGACAACAAGTACACAGCCTACACCATGGAGGTACTGACAGACCCTCTCTGTACAGGGATGGACCGTACGCGGGACAGAACCGCCTCATGCCTACGTACATGATAGATTAGGATGTTCTGATGTGGCTGTGTGAAGCGCTCAGAGCTGGACAGAGTACCATACTTCAGTACTGGAGGAAGAGTAGATAAGAGGAGATTAAATAAAAGCACAAGTGCTTAAGTAAATTCACAGGCAGGTACTTCAGTACTTTTACTCAGGTAGAAATATTAATAGAACTCTAAAGTTCTGTTTTATCCACAGCTCCTCAGGTACTGAGGTACTGAAGTATTGTACTTTCTGCAGCGCTGATTATACCCCAGTGTTTCTAATGCGTCTCCCGGCTCATTGATGTTTAGGCTGCCAGTATTATGGGTGAATCGCAGACCTCACAGTTCCTGATAAATATTTGGTGGCTGACTTGATAAGTAAAGTGATCGAGTAACTGACGGAGCAAGTGTGTTCTTTCTAACGCCATGGAGACGGAATGAACCGATTAATGTGTTTTTCTCTGTAGCACCTGCGCGTGGGCTGGGAGCAGCTCCTGACCACCATCGCCCGCACCATCAACGAGATCGAGAACCAGATCCTGACCAGAGACGCCAAGGGCATCAGCCAGGAGCAGCTGCACGAGTACCGCGCCTCCTTCAACCACTTCGACAAGGTCAGGCGTGCGTTAGCCGCTTAGCCATGTGTTAACCACTTAGCCATGCGTTAGCCACTTAGCCATGCGTTAGCCACGCGTTAGCCACTTAGCCATGCGTTAGCCACGCGTTAGCCACTTAGCCATGCGTTAGCCATGTGTTACTCATACATTAGCCACTTAGCCATGCGATAAAGATGCATTAGCCACTTAGCCATGCGTTAACCATACATTAGCTATTTGTTACCCATGCTTTAGCCACCTAGCCATGTGTTATCCATGCATAGCCTTGCGTCAGCTACTTAACCATGTGTTAATCATTAGTTAGCCACACTTTAGCCACTTAGCCTTGATGTGGTTCTGTTAAGGTCCGAACAGCCGTTGTTCAGTCACACAGGAACATTTGTGTCAGATAAACAGAGACATTGAGGATGTTAGTGACTCAAACTCCTGAAGTCCAGCAAAAGAAGCTGAAGATAAGGTCAGATTATCGTGTCGCGCGGTCAGTTAGTGTGACCAGTCAGTGTGAGAGTAAAGCTGTAGGCAGAGTGACCGTCTGGGCAGTGAGACGGTCTCAGTGTGGGAGCTGGGTTAGCAGCGTGGTCTGCTGGGCTGAGACTGAAGGTTCAGATTAACTCAGTGCAGAAATACAGGAGAGAACTGAGCTTCACTCTTCATCTCCACCTCCTCAGCCTCATCTCACTCTTCCTCCATCTCCACTCCTCCTCCTAATCGGAGTGACCGTGTTCAGATGAGTGACGTGACGAGTGATTCACTGCATCGGTTTCCATTATTTTGTCCATCATCCTGTTTTGTTTTTGTTCTGACATCCGTCCTCCTGTTTGTCTCCGCCCCTTTCTGTTCTGTTCCCGCCTCCATCCCCTCCCCCTGCATGCCGTGCTGCTGTGATGTCATGGCCCCGCCCACCTCCATCCATTCCACGTCGTTGTGGTCCACCCCCACGTGATCTCTGGTGTGATTGGCCGACTGCAGGACCACAGCGGCGCTTTAATGGCCGAGGAGTTTAAGGCGTGTTTGATCAGCCTCGGTTACGACGTGGAGAATGACAAACAGGTACGAGAGCCAATCAGAGCGCAGGAGGGATGGACTTCTGCCCGTCTGGGTGTTTTGGCTGCTGAATGCACGCGACTCTCATCCGTCTGTTCCTCATTTATCACTGTACTGCCTGCCGCTCGCCCCCACAGCGCCCCCCGCTGGCCGGCTCAGAGTGTCGCTTGGTTGTGACGTCTCTCTTAACGCTGCTTTTTCTTTTTCTTTTCTTTTTTCTTTTGTTTTTCTGCCATAACTGTTCTCCTTCATCTTCACATTCCTTCACCCCTCTCTCTCTCTCTCTCTCTCTCTCTCTCTCTCTCTCTCTCTCTCTCTCTCTCTCTCTCTCTCTCTCTCTCCCCACTCACTGTCCTGCCTGTCCTCCTCCGCTCTGGCTGCATCCCTTCATTCCTCTGTCCTCCTGTTATCCCTCCATCCTGCGTGGTTCAGAAGCGTACGGGGATCATGGACTCAGACGATTTCCGCGCTCTGCTCATTTCCACTGGGAACAGTCTGGTACTGCTCTAACTCTACCTCTCTCTCTCTCTCTCTCTCTCTATTCACTCTTCTTTTTTATTTTTATCTCTTTTTCTTCTTTCCTGTTTCTCCTTTCTCTTTCTGTCTCTCTCATTTCAAAGTCTCTCTTTTTCTTTCTCATTGCTTTTTTATTTTTTAATTCATTATTTTTATCTTTTTCTTCTTTGTTTCTCACATTCTTAGTTCTTTTTTCTTTGTCTCTCTATTTCTCCTTTTGTCTCTCTCTCATCTCTCTTTTTTCCCTTTTTCTTTTTATTTATTTTTTCATCCTATTCTTCTGTATTCTTTCTTTCTTTATTTCTTTTTAATGCTCTTTCTGATTCTTTTCTCTCCATCTCTTCTTTCCCTCCCTCTTTGTCTTTCTTTTTTACTATCTCTCCTCAGTCCTTTTTTATTTTTCTCTGTCTTTCCTTATTTCTTTCTTGTCTCTTCTGTCTCACTCTGTCTCTTTTTCTTTCTTATTTTTATTATTTTTTGCCTTCTTTACTTCTATTCTTCTCTTTTTTTTATACATTGCCTTCTTTTTTCTTTCTCTCTCTCTGTTTATTCCAGCTTTCCCCTCTCTGTTCTGTCTCTCATGCTTTCTTGTATTCCTGCTAATGGCTCTTGCGCTCCTCCTGACCTGTTGTTGTTTATTTGTTGTTGTTTGTTTGTGTATCAGTGTCGTCCTGCTCTAATTACAGTATTTGAATATGTAATTATCCAGTAAGTGATCAGACCTGTATCTGATTATTGAAGTTAATTTAGATGATGATGTCAGCGTAGCTCTGTTAGAGATGTTTAGGGTGTGTTAAGGAGCTCCTGGAGATCTTCCACCCTGGAGAGTTCAGATCGGACTCACCTGGTTACCTGGATCAGGTGTGTGTGATTGTGGGTGGAGCTGGACTCTGCAGGGTGTTGGATCTCCAGGACCAGGTCTGAGCCCCTGTGTAGATAAGCAGGGTCAGTTCTGCCTCCTCCTGGTCTGGGTTGACCTCCTGTCCCCTGTTTCCAGGGCGACGCTGAGTTTGCCCGCATCATGGGCATCGTCGACCCGAACAACAGCGGCGCGGTGACCTTCCAGGCCTTCATCGACTTCATGTCCCGGGAAACGACGGACACGGACACGGCCGACCAGGTCATCGCTTCCTTCAAGATCCTGGCTGGAGACAAAGTGAGTTTATTTCCTCTTTAAGTCACTGATGATGATGTTTCCTTCAGCCTTTAACACCAAACACAGTCCTGATCCAGCGTCAGTCGACTTTCACTGCAGAGACTCTACAGGAACATTGACTTTACAGTGGTGGTGATGGGAACCAGGGGTCGCCATGACTACAACACAAATATAGACATTTTATTTATGGATTTTAAGGCCGAAATCTTCTCAAAACTGTCAAGATAACTAGTTCTGACTCAGTACGTTTCCCTTCTTAGCAACTCCATAGCAACCACCTGGAAAACTATAGCAGTGTCCTGGTAACCACCTGGAATAGCATAGCACCCATCTAGCATTGCTTAAGCTGCAGAGTCAGTCATTTCAGGAAATTAATTTAGTAATTATTAATTAAGCGTTATTAACTTTGTTCGTTTGTGCGTTTTACTGTTCTCAACATAATAAACATAATAAAACTGGACACTCAGTTTGTCTGTAACGTCCAGTTTAGCTTATAATACCTACCTTGAAGTTATACTCATTGGCCATTTCATCAGAAACACCTGTTGCCTATGTGCACCAAGTAGGTTTATACTTACAGTCTCTCTCTCTGTATTCTCTGTATGTCTCTCTCTCTCTCTCTCTCTCTCTCTCTGTATTCTCTCTCTCTCTGTATTCTCTCTGTATTCTCTCTCTCTCTCTGTATTCTCTATGTCTCTCTCCCTCTCTCTCTCTCTCTCTCTCTCTGTATTCTCTCTCTCTCTCTCTCTCTCTCTCTCTCTCTCTCCTCTGTATTCTCTCTCTCTCTCTCTCTCTCTCTCTCTCTCTGTAGAACTATATAACGGCGGAGGAGCTGCGGCGGGAGCTGCCCCCGGATCAGGCGGAGTACTGCATCAGCCGCATGGCGCCGTACGCCGGGCCGGACGCCGTACCCGGAGCGCTGGACTACATGTCCTTCTCCACTGCTCTCTACGGAGAGAGCGACCTCTAAGGCCCAAATCTCTCTCTCTTCTCTCTCTCTCTCTCTCTCTCTCTCTCACCCTCGATCGCCCTCCCTCACACGCGCCCACCCTCTGACCACGCTGCGCGGGTGAGGGCGGCCCACCTGTCCAGTCTGAGCCGGGGGCGGCGCTGTGGGGGAGAGGAGGAGAGGAAGAGCTGCAAACGGGACTTTAAAGCACACCTGAGGGGGCGGGGCCAAGATACGATGGGGATGGGTGGGTGGGGCTTACAAAGCGGGCGGGGCTTGTACCTGGTGGATTTTGCGGGTGCAGACGGTCAGGGTAGTCCGGGTCAGCGCAGGATTTGATTTGATACGAGCTCACGCGCCTGCAGACTTATTATTATTATTATTATTATTATTATTATTATTTTGGGTTTTTTTCGTTTTTTTTTTTGTAGTCCTGGAAGATGAACTAATGAAGAGAGTTATTCATTTACGTTAGCCTTTAATTAGTTTGAGATTTCTCACCAGCAGAAGAAGAAGAATCGGATGAGCGATCCGGCAAGTAATAAATAAGTAAATAAATAAACGAGAAGCTGAAATAGTTGAGGTGAAATTTAGCGCTGAAAGTGGTGCTCGTTTAATCTGGGGTTCTGCCTTGTTTTCAATCCCCACATATTCACGTTATACACACATACGAGCGCAGGCTCACTCAGCTTTACGCTAATCAGTCTAATGCTAATTAGTTTTGTTGTTTGGGTGGGGGGTGGGGGTTTGGGGTGATATTGATGATTGATAATTGATTAGTGAGGATTGATGATCTGATCAGCTGGTAGGTCGTGTCGGTAGAAGAGCATAAGCCTAAATAACGGTTAACAGAAGATTTTTTGGAGGGAAAAATGGAGAATTGGCACGTTGGACCCTCTTAGCTGCAGCGCTGGATCTCTGATATCTAACCTCAGCTTTTCCCCATTTCTACTTTTTATTATTATTTTTATTTGTATTTTTCCAGCAGTTCTGAGTTGGTGGGTTTCTGTGCTGTACATACTTATTATTCCAGTACACGAAGTGATGAGTGACCCACAGAGGGGCATTCAGGGTGGAGAGCTGTAGACAGGGTTGAGAAGCTGACCGTTTGGATTTTAGTGTCTTTTTTGGGCTCAGTAGGTGGCGCTATATCTGTAATCTGTATCTAAGCACAAAACCCATTTACAGCTTCCTTTATTAATCACATCGGCTTCAGCCAGAGTGAGTTTAACCAACGGATTAAAGACGAAAACTGTTAGGATTATTTGGCGTAGATGATTAATTGATTAATTGAACCTGATCGAAGGAGTGACGGTTCTCACAGTTAAAAATGAGTAAACGAATAAATTAATATCAGTAATTAGAGTCTGTAGATGCTCCTGGTCTTAATGAACGTTCCATTATGTCTTAATTAAAGATGAAATTACTGCGTAATAATCTATGCAATCACGTATTCCAACATCACCAACGAATGCTGAGTCGGACGGTAACGGAGACATGGAGCTGAGTGACGGTGCAGTGATGGTGTGTGCGGTGGGGGTGGGGCAGGGGGAGGGGGAGGTGTTGGGGGGGGCGGGGGTTGTTAACCACACTCGGACCAAACGCCTGCTCTTTATTCTGCCAGGAGGAAAAGCATTTGGGGTTGTGATTATTTTTCTTTTTTTGTACTCTTTAATATCAGACCTTATCTGCTGTACTGGAAACTGCTTTCTGTCTCAACAATGAAGTGAGTTTCACATGCACACATAAAGTTTCCTTATAAAATAAACGCCCAGCCGAGTCTGTCTTCTTTCACTGTATGTGTGTGTGTAACAGGTTTATGCCACGTTGTGGGGACCCAGTTATACACTCATGTTGCGGGGAGCTTTCTTCCTTGTGGGGACCACAAGCTGATTCCCACAATGTAGATCATTAAATTGTAAAGTAAAGATATGTTTTAAGCTAGCAGTAGTTCTGGTTAAGGCTTGGACGTCTGTTATGTCCCCACAATTCACAGAAACAAACGTGTGTGTGTGTGTGTTAACCATGTTTATTCCACATTGTGGGGACCAAAACCTAGTTATACAATCACATGGGGACTTTCCTTCCTTGTGGGGACCACAGGCTGATTCCCACAACATAAAACGTTAAGGTGAAGATGTGTTTTAGGGTTAAGGTAGTAGTAGTTTCTGTTTAGGTTTCGGTTGCCAGGAAATGATTGAAAGTCTATGTAATGTCCCCATAATTCACAGATACAGATGTATGTGTGTGTGTTTTTGTGTGTTAACCAGGATTTTGCCACGTTGTGGGGACCAAAACCTAGATATACGCTCACATTGTGGGGACATTTCTTCCTTGTGGGGATGACAGGCTGATTCCCACAATGTAAATCGTTAAATTTTAAGGTGAAGACGTGTGGGCTAGCAGTAGTTCTGGTTAAGGTTTGGAAGTCTATGTAATGTCCCCACAATTGACAGAAACTAACACATATGTGTTAACCAGATTTATGCCATGTTATGGGGACCAAACCTGGTTGGTCTGTAAAAGATGAGCTGGTCTACATGGTGGGTTTCCAAATGTGTTGTTTGTCCCACTCTGTCATAACATCAGTTTACAGCCGACAGTGTCTTTATGATGCCTGGTCCAACACTTGCGCCCCCTGGAGCTCAAAGTGAGCTAAAATTATTGCTACCGTCATTACTGAGACATTTGGTAAAGTTTGGTGTTATGACTGTTTTGGTAGTGACAAAATGGAATATTTAATTATTAGTTTTAATAAAATAATCATACTTATGATATTGGGTCACTGAAAGCTAAAGATTTCGGTCTAAAATGAAGATCATTTTCAAAACAGTAATTTTTTTTATTTAATGTGTACTTTCCTGTATATATTTTTGAAAAGTATGTTTTTATAGTAACATTTTAAATTTCAAATTAAATCCTCTAATATGCTTTAAGAAAATAACACTTAAGTCTTTCTTTAACTGAATCATACTTAAAAGGAGATCTGCACTTAGTTAATGAGGTGTATCTTAAGGCAATGATGTCTTAAGTATCCTTTAATACATTTTATTTGCAAAATATGTAACTAGAAATCAAATATGTATGTTTTTCATCTGAGTACAAATTAGAACAGAAAAGCATCATTACTTAAAAAAAAGTATAAATTGTGTTTAGTTATTCCTAATTCAAGGATTTATTGTAATTCCAGCTCTATACAAGTACACAGTGAAAGGAAACAACATTCCTCCAGGACCAACACAGCAACACAAGTGCAAAACAATACAGTACAGTAAATAAATACATAAAGACTTAGAATAAATACAGAACAGAGCACAGGCAGCACACGGTACTGAGAGTATGTGGAGCTGTGCAGAGGAGGATGGAACACACTATGACATTAGCAGAGATCCTATCATATATGAGCACAGCAGTCGCTGAGGACGCAACCAGAGCAGCAATATACAGTATACAGTATTTGGCTGATACAGTAATTCTAGCAGCTAACAATGTAAAAGTGAAGTAAAATGTGTAAAAATGCGAGTATTCAGATCTGCAGTCATAACTGATGAAGTGTTTCGGTGAAATGCAGTAACTATATTTAAATACCGTGTTCCAGACATAATTTGGAACTGCAGGAAGTGGAGAGTGAGTTAGTCTCATGAATACCTAATTAAAGATATTTTTACGCTTTTCAGTAACTTTTGTGGGATGAATTCAAGTATATATAATGAAATTCAAATGTAGTTTAAAATGCATTTAAGTGCGATAGTTGCAGTATTACAATTATGGATAAATATCTCAATAAGTAGCACTTCAATGTTACTCCAAGTGTGGTGAGTTGTGTCTAAAAAATACATACTTAAATTGACCCAGATGTGATTTGTTAACTAAAAGCACAACTAATTGCATTTAATAATAGATTAATTGCAATTTAAATTCAATTAAGTGGTTCTAGAGTGATGCATTTACTGGGTATTAAAGTATGTGTAAACATGAAGTATGTTCTTTGTATTTATTGTACACTTTTTAGAAGTTCACATAAAAGCAGGGCGACAGTAACGAGAGATCTTTTCCGTGTATCTACTTTTGACTCCATTTCTATGAAGATTCTCGTTACTCGTTACTTCGAAGCTTTGAAGTCAGGAGTTTTGTAAAATGTGATATTAGGCCTCACAGGCAGAAAACCAACCACAGTAAACTCCTCCTACGCCTGGGGTTTCAAACTGCCGGCCCGTGAGGCAACTTTATACGCCCCTCGCATGTTAAATTAGGCTTAAATCCAGCTTGCAAGTCAGTTTTATTACTTATCTATTTTTGATCTTAATGTTCTTTGGTTCTAGGTCTACAGTAATCACTCCGCTTTCAGAAGGTTTTTTTTCCTGATTTGCATAGTGATTTTTGTCAAACGCTCCCATAACTAGCCAACAAATTGGCTAAACCCAGCCTACCTGCAGCATGTCTTATGATATGCACGTGCTAACTCAAAGTTTTGTTTATTTATTTGAACAAAATTTCTCTTTCGAAAGTCTTAAAACATAAAAGTAATTGGAGTATAGACAGTTTTAAGAGAGGTGGACAGTCAGTTATTTCTTTGTTGAATTTCTTTGTTGTGTTCTTTAGGAACAGAGTCTGAAGCTGCAGGGTCAGAACCACGGCTGAGAGGAACATCTCACATTTACCAAAAAAACATCTTGATAACCCCAGTAATGTTCTGTGGAATGATGCTGGAACTTTTTGGAAGCTAACAAAGCATTCCATAATAAGAACATCATACCAGCAGTGAAGCATGGTGGTGTGACGGTGTGGGGATGCTTTGCTGCTTGTAATGCTGATTTCCTTGTAAAGCTGCTTTGTGACAACGCCTGTTGTAAAAAGCGCTATATAAATAGATTTTGCTTGCTTGCTGCTTCGCTGCTTCAGGGTTACTTGCCATAATTGATGGAACCCTGAATTCTGCTCTCTACAAAAAACCCTGTAGGAGAACCTCCAGTTATCAGTCTGTGAAGGGAAGTTCCAGTGCAGTTGGGTTCTTCAGCAAGACAGTGAACTGAAGCACAAGACCAAGTTCACTTCTGAATGACTCAGAAGGAACAAAATGAAGGTTTTGGAGTGGAGAGTCAAAGTCCTGACTGAAACCCTGTTGAGATGCTGTGGCAGGATCTGAGGCTGTTTGCTCGAAAGTCTCCGATGTGGCTGAACTAAAGCAAAGTGGGCCAACATTCCTCCACGGCGCTGTGAGAGACTGATCTCCAGTTAGAGGAAGCGTTTAGTTGCAGCTGTTGCTGCTAAAACTGGCACAACCTTTCACTAAAGCAGTGTTATGCAAGAATTGGCATTTTTTGGGCTCCCCCTACAGTTGTGGAGTATTTTTCACTTTCACACCACTGTTGCTGTGAGCGCCTGGACAGCTGTACACGTGCATTTGTTGACGACCTGAAGGAAACACACGCATCACACAGGAATATGGACAGATCACACTCACGAGTTCAGTTGTTTCTGTGTGTAAATGACAGAAACTGTCATCGTAAAAAAAAGAACTGTGCCAGTTACAAGGAAGAGAAGGAAGTTCAAACTTTCAAGGCTTATTTGGCGTCAGACTGACAGACTGAGCAAACGTTTGGTGTGAGATGAATTTATTTATTTGCATGCTAACTTAGTCTGAAATGAGACTGAGGTTAGACGACTTTTGGCATCCAGAAAAACTACAAAACTCTGAGAGACGGGGACGACACAGATAAGCTTACAGTCTACGGCGCAGTCTTTCATTAATAGCACTGGCAGGGATGAACACTCTGACTGAGTTTCATTGTTTTCCCGTTAGCCGTGAGTCTGTCTTGCATCCTTTTGTCTCTTTTAGCTCAAAGTCAAAGTCAGTCCGAGATTTACTCGTCTGTTCTCTCGCTCAGTCACTCTCTCTTTTTTCACTTCCTCTGACAGCATCTTCTTTGGTCTCTTCGCAGCCTCTGCCATGATGTCCATGCTGGGAATACCGAGCTGCTTCTTCTTATAGCTGCTGAATTGTTGTTGTGTGATGTGGTGCTGTAAAGCGTTACGCAGTTCTGGCGAGAGGTTCTTGTGCTGCTCCTCCAAAGTTACATAGCGCTATAGCAGGTGTTCCGGCCCGGAGTGGCAAAAACAGAGACGCCGTTCTCACTGTGATAAGTCAGAGTAGCATCAAAGTGATTTAGGAGCTGATATTTTAAGGTAAATTCTTTACCTAATGTTGCTTTAACCCTCAGAGAGCTGCTGTTGCAAAATTGCCTTAATTGTTTAAAGCACACATTTATACCTAAATCTGACTTAATGTCACTAAAACTTAAACACTTCACACTACAAACTCTAAATCAGTCCATCAATATAAAAACTATAAAAACAAATAATACACAGCACCTCGAAATCAAACTATACATCTTTGCTCTGTTTTAGTGCTAATTAAACAGTTTTGCAAGTATTTGAGCTTTGATTTTTATTTCTATAAAGTTTAGTGACGCAACAAACAAATAAAAAAGGCAAAATACGCAAATTTTTGGCAAGTTTTTGGCAAATTTTGTAAATGTGGCAAAAATGAAGCCATTAGCGTTAATTTTCACACATTTTCAGCATCATTCACACAACAGCCTTAGTTTTCTTCTTTGAAATCAATGAGCCCAACCTGCACATCTTCCCTAAAATCAGATCACCTGATCAGCCTCATCTGGTCAATATTAAACTTTTATGAACTGGATCATCTTTTTTAATCCAGGGAATTAAGAGTTTAATTCAGACTTCACTATTAAATTTATAGCA